CTGCCCAAGGCGGGCACCCAGGCGCGTCTGGCCAGCGTGTCCACCCAGTGTCCTCCGCCTGCCCAAGGCGGGCACCCAGGCGCGTCTGGCCAGCGCACCCGCCCAGTGGCCTGAGTGTTTGCGTTGGGTCAGGCAGGGCGTGGGGCTAGGACGCCCCACACTGGAGAACAAGATGGGGCGCCAAGGACCCCTCACCCCTACTCGTGAGCATCTCATACCTGGGCCTCCGGGGCGGGTGGCTACACTCACGCTCAGCCTTGCGTTTGAGTGAGATCCTCTGCCCCTTTTGAGTTGTGCTTGACTTAGCGAAGGTCTGGGACGCCCAGCTTCAGAGGTCTCTTTGATGTCCAGGATTTTCCATTTGATCCGTGTCGGGGGGAGGGGAGAAATGAGCCCCTTTGAGGGCCTAATAAAGTCAGGACCTGCTGCCTCTGTCCTGGAGCTCATTCCTCCGCGGAGCCCGCGGTGACTCTGGACCCTTCGTGGCAGAGTGGGGCGAGCGGCCCCGTGACCTCGCGGGCGCACCTGAGCGTCACTGCACGTGCTGAGGGGCAGGGAGCCGACGGCGGGGGGTGCGCGCTGAGAACCCCGGGCTCGGGGCCCCTGCGGCCCTGGGGCTGACGCCTCGGCAAGACAAAGGCGTCACGTCGCTGCAGTCAAAGGCGGGTTATTGCAGTCAGTCAGCTTGACAGACGTCACGGCTGCCGGACTGGTCAAGAGCCGCCTGGTCTCTAGACACAGCTGGCCCGGCCGGGCCTTCCCCTCTGCTCCGAGTCACCTTTTCTGTCCGCCCGCTTGGCTCACGCCGGCATCGGACAGGGAGCCGCCGCGTCTCGGCCACTCCGGGACTCTGCCGAGACCGGTGGGGGGAGACAGCCCCGCGCCGGCTCTGGGGCTGAAGTGAGGGACCCACTGAGAGTGAAAGGCTGCTTGGGGTGAACGTCTCGTTTCTGTCCTAGTTTTTACAGGGTGAATGAGGTGCAGCGCTTTGAATACTCCCGACCGATCCGCAAGGGAGAGAAGAACCCCGACAATGAATTTGCGGTAAAAAGGGAAACCCTCCAACCCCCCCCCCAAAGCTGGACTGGTGTGGCCTTGAGGCTGCTGCCTGCGGCCCTCAGGTCTCCTGCCGAAGTGGCGGTGCGGCCTCACAGCCCCACGGGCGGGCGCCTGGTCCCTGCGGGCGTGCCCGCGCGGGGTCTCGTCGCCGTCAGGACACTCCACTGGAGGAGGCGTAAAATAAAGCGCCGGCTCGGGGCTTGTTTTCTGCCGCTGTGCCGCCGCGGTGCCAGTTTACGGCGCCCGTCAGCCCAGGCGCCGGCCGTGCAGTCGAGCTGTCCGAGGGC